CCGTGGGGGGGCGTCTCACGGGTGGCGGGCCCGGCTGTGACCCGCCTCCCGTGTCAGTGGGTCCGTTCGAACCCGCGTGGTTCCGGCATTCCACGAAGTACTGTTTCGCCTTGGCATGGAGCCTGCTTGCCTTCCCTGCGCAGTCCCCCGTGGGGTGTGCTTTAAGTAAAAACAGTGGTGGAAAAACCTTACCCAAGGCAGCAGTTCTGCAGGCCGGGAGTGACCTGTCAGGTCACTGGTGGGCAACAGCCTGCCAAGGGCTGTCTTGGGGTAACTAGATCCAGTGCTTCTGGAGTCGGTATTAATTGTTCTTGTGCCTAAGGACACTCCGTTCCCTCCCAGGAGTGATGGAGCTAAGCTCTCCCTGCCCAGATCTCCCAGTCTCCTGATCTTTTTGTGTGTGTTTGGAGAACAAACTAGTTCTCAGTACAGTTATGGGCCTTGCAATATCAAAGATACGTATGAGCTTGCTTTCAAGTACGTGTCCAAGGCTCAATGAAGTCTTAGGGAACGGACTATTGAAGGCCATCTAATCCCACTCCCCTGCCATGAGCAGCAACATCTTCAACTAGACCAGGTTGCTCAGAGCCCCGTCCAACCTGACCTGGGATGTCTCCACCTCCATCACCTCTCTGGGTGCCAGTGGTTCACCACCCTCATTGTCAAAAATTCCTTCTACCTAGTCTCAACCTCCCCTCTTTCAGTTTAAAACTTTCAGTTTAAAACCGTTACCCCTTGTCCTATCACTACAGGCCCTGCTAAAAAGTCCATCCCCATCTTCTTTCAGCCCCTTTTAAGCCCTGTCAGGCTGCAAGAAGGTCTCCCCGGAACCTTCTCTGCTCCAGGCTGAACAACCCCAACTCTCCCAGGCTGTCCTTACAGGAGAGGTGTTCCATCCCTCAGCATTTTTGTGGCCTCCTCTGGTCCCACTCCAACAGGTCCATCACTTTCCCGTGCTGAGGGAAAGAACATTAAAAAATATGGAAGCCTGCTTTTAAAACATTTGGCCTCCCTGTCAAAACCCTTCTCTCTCTCTGCAGAGCGTAACCGAGTGGGACCCTGTCCTCTGCTGCTGTGGGTCGTCACTGAAATCCAAATAACAGGAGTGAACAGCTGAAAGTTACCACTGCTTGCATCTAAAAAGTAACTATTTCTTGGCATGCTGGGGTTTTTAATGCCTTTAATTTGCAAACTCTAGCTTCTTGTTAGTTTTGCTTGTTGTATTACCTTGGCTTGAAAAGAGATGATTGTGCTCAAAGATGTCAGAAACAGCTAAGGCTTCAAAAGCTTATATTGGGTGTGAAAAGCTAATGAGCAAAATGGCTCTTAAACTCATCTGTGGAAGACCTTGATTTATCTCTTCTGTAAAAAGAGGGAGAAACTGTACCCTAGGGATGGAGTGTATTTGAGACTTGCCTACTACTAGCGCTCTCTGTCGTTTAGTGACTGGGGCGTGTGTACGTGTTGGTAGATACGTCTCACAAGACAGTAAATACTACGCTGGAGCCCCTGTTGCTGTATCAGAAGTAGCAGATCTCAGTGATGCAAAGCACTAGACCTGTACAAACTGATACTGGTAGTTCAGGAAATGAAATATGCAGAGAAAAATCCCAATTATTTTTTTGCAGGTTTTGATACTTTAAACTTAGATTGCATTCTGAATAGACTCAACGGCTCACAACCTTTTTATATTTCCTCTTTTTTTCCTTCGTTCTGCCCATAGTAAAAAAAAAATATGTTCCTACATGCTATCACCCTTCTTAAATGTACTTTCACTTGGTAGCTCTGGATTTGAATTTATTTTCTGCTTCAGCTGTCGGTATGAGAACTTTGTCTTAGATGGGCTCTTGCACTGGACCTTTACTTACTCAGTATTCACTCTGGGAACTCACATGTTACCTACTCTGAGTGACAGCGATCTAATTCAGACCTCCTTCCTGATATTAAAATTCTGAGGAACACAAGTCAGACATTTTTGGGATTTAAAAACCTGAATGGTACCAGGTACTTATTTCATACAGCAAGTTGCAGCATTTGTACAACTTCAGATTTAGCTGCTCTCTGTATGATTCAGGGTAAGCCTTCTTCCTCCAGGACTGGAAACAAGGAGAATTCAAACTGTTTCCTCAGCTATGGTAGGTTTATGGAGAGGGACTGTAGTTAGGTTCCCTAAACATTGGGATCACAAAATGGAGGGGAGCCTGGCTGCTCTTTCCTACAGTTTCCTACAAGTCAAGTTCCAGAAGGACCCAGTGTTCCTACAGCCAATTTGACAATTGATTTGTTTGATCCTTAGAGCATGTCTTTCAGGGATTTCACTCTCGCCTTGCTTATCCCTGCTGTAACTACTAGCTTCACAAGAGTTACATTGGGATGGACTGACCACATTATCATATTTTTGTTTTGGTTTTAGTAGATACCTCAGTCAGTGACCCTGTTTCTTTCTTCCAGTCTCACAGCCAAGAAAGAGAGCGTTCATTGAAGTCTCCAGCCTTTGCTGTTCCTCTGTTTTTGACCAACTGTGGTCAGAAGGAAAACATGGCGCTTGACAACGATACTGTTGGTACTTACAGGCAACCAGCAGCTTACAGAGTCCAAAGAGAAATGCAGACTGAGGAGCACTTCCAGACATACTTTGAAAGAAAACTGTCCTCCACCTTGGGTGGAGCACTACAAATCCCTCGAGAGAACAGACAGCTACAGTGCAGGTGAGTTCTATGCCAGGAATTTATCAGGTGCGAAGAAACTAAGGAGACTCTTCAAGCCCAAGTGTAAAAAAGGTGCTAACTTTCCTAAAGCTGGTAATTAAAATGCTGAACTGCACTGCTTAGTAGCTGAAGCAGAACACCCAGTTACAGCCGCTTGCACCTGACCCGTGCAAGATCAGCTTAGCGCTGCATTACCAAAGCTGCTATTTGCAATCTGCAGAAGCGTCTGTTCACTTCAGGACTATGCTAGTGTGAGGGATATACACACTGTAAAGAGAAACTGTCAGTAGTTGTAGTTCCCTCCAGTGCTTCCCTCAGTCTAGCTGTCAGATGCAGGCTTTCATTTGTTTCTTTCTGATTTGTGCCTTTTGATATTTTTATTTCTTAAATTTCAAGAGCAAATTTCTGTTCCTTCTTAGCTGGGAACGTGGAAAATTGCATAATGGTATGACTGAGATTGACTGAACTGCTTTGGTGTTATTTTGGAGCTATGTTCCTGTGTTCTTTGAGGAGAACGGGTGAGGCTAATTAATGATAAAGCATTAATGCTTCCACAGCCTCATTTTCCCATCTGCCAAAATTCTCTTTTGGGCATTATACTGGGAGTAGAAGCATCTCTTCTGCCAGAGGAGCCCTGCAGGCTCACCAGAAGGCAGTCTTTGTTGGCAGCATAGGAGAATTCCTGATGTTCTTCCAGCAAGGCAAATATAATAAAAAATAGGAAGCCTGCTCATCAGCTTCCTTTTTAGTTTTGATTGACTATGAATACTCTCAGTTTTCTTTCTGAATCTCTTTTTGGATCTGGAGTGTACTGTCAATGGTTATGGCTGTGTCTACTCTATAAAGTCCTCCTAAGAAAGTAAATACAAAATCTCTGATTCATCATTTATCTGGGCTTTGTTTCAGCACGTATGCTGAACGTATACTGAAACTTGAAAACTGTTGTTCTGAGACCATGGCAGGACTTGAGACTCAAGTTTAGCTATGGGTAAGGTTCCACAAGGTGTGGTGAGCTAATCTAACACCTTGCTGCTGCCAGAAGGGATGGGACCACGCAGGGAAAATGAAGCAGGGGAGCCAGACCTCTCTCCTTCTGTATAACTAGCTCTTACGTCAGCTTGGCTATGTGTGGGACTAAAACTATGGGTTGTGTCTAACTTATGCTGCTGTAAAGTAATTTTCTGGTGATAAGTGAAGGCATATGGAGCAATAGTTTGAGTTGCTATTGTGTTTTCTAGTTTTCCTTCGCCATGAACACTTCTCGTCAAGACTAATTTCTGTCATAGTGAGATCCTTTAGATTGTGCAATAGCTTTCTCTACCAGTGCTGTCTTTTTATGTACTTAAAAAAACATAAGGAGATTGGATGAAGTTCTGGAGTTAGAGAAACAAAATTACTTCATGGAAAGGGCTGAATTGTGTACAGTTATGACAAGTGATCTAGAGTTAAAAGTCTGTTCACCCAGAACCACCTGGTGCAATAAAACAAGTCTTGCCCGGAGGTCAAAGGGAGAATTTTGCTCTAAAGTCATAGCTAATATTATTGGAAACTTTATCATTGCACTTGATGCTTAATAAGAAAATCTCTTTATTCCCTCCCCCAACTCATCGTTTAAGAACTGTGTCTGCCTTGCTTCCTCATACTCTTTTCCTTGTTTCTTTTCTACTTCCCTATCTCATGTGTTTTCTCTCTTCTCCATTTTGTATCCACTTGTCAGCCCAGTGTATAGTCACCTTGGACAATAAAATGATGGAAAGGGACTTGACTCTGTAATGACTGGGGTTACTCCTCACTGCCGCTGTTCAAGGCTGCCAGTAGTCTTGGGCAGACACTACATCACTTACATTTGGTTTGTAAGTAGAAAATCACTAACATTGCCAGGGGATTGAAAAGGGGAAGAAGGAGCACAGGACTGTGGCGTTAATCAGAGTTTACCTACGGGAAATTCTGATTCAAAAACATATACACAAAATAAATCATGTAGGTCAAGTCCTGTTTGCATCCTCTTAATAAATAATGTGATAGGGGAACTATTTGACTGGTTTTTTGGAGGTGGGATAGGCTTGCCTGTTTTCCCATCCCAGATATAGTGTGTGTCTGATTTTTTTCTAGATCAGAATAGGAGGAATCAAAATACCATTTCCTATTATTTCGCGGTGTTAATGAGGTCAAGTAATTGATGGATTCAGCGCGCTGGGCTCCGGCGCTGACATGCTATCATACGAATGGCACACAGAGTATTTGCGATTCATCTGAATGGAATGCAAAGGCATGGGGGTGCCTATGCAGGATTCATGTTATGTGCCAGCTGGATCCGTGGAAGGCTAACGCCTGTGCGGGTTCACAGTACGTGGTGCCTGCAGAGGGCTAACCACAGCAGTGTGGCTTCTGTGCCTGCAGAGCACGAGGCTGCGCATGCGAAAGCACTGCAGAGGTGGAGACTGTAAAACCCATTGCATACAGCTTATCTGATTCTTTTCAGCTTCTCCTGGGGAAGGTTCAGAAAGGTCATATTCAAGATGTTCCCTGTCCTGAACTGGCTTTTTTCATATCGGTTCAGAGAATGGATCTTGAGGGATCTACATGCAGGCCTAAGTGTTGGGATGTTTCAGGTTCCTCAAGGTAGGCAGAGAGAAAAAAACACTCTACCTTCCTTTTGCAATAGCATGCTTTTCATAATCTATCTCCAGTGTGTGTTTCTGTTCTTTCTAATGTCATCAGGTTACATGGGAACTTTAACCTTAGAAGTTCCTTAAATCATTTAACCTATTTATTTGCATGTTTGCAGGAGAACAACTTTTCTCTAATCAGATATTACATGTTGTAATTTCAAGGACAGGACACTACTTTTTTCATAAAGTTTCCCTCAAACTAACACAAAATATAGACTAACGGGAGCATTTTCCTATATTGCAAACAATATAACACGGTCTTTAAAACCCACCTTGCAAAGTCAGGTCTGTTAGATACCCGCATGCATAGCCACCCCACTAGTAGGTGGTCTAAACGAAGAGTTGTTTTGGTTCTTTGTCTAATTTCTAGCTAGCAAGAGCCCATGTTGTAAAACAACATTGTCTTTTGTCACTAACTGGCCTGGTTTTGTCAGGTCCTGAATTCCCTAGAAAAAAGACCGTGGGAGTTGAATGGCTGTCTTGCTCACTGATTTGGCATGTTTCGGCCCAAACTGGAAAGTGGCAGGTAGTGTAAGTAAGACCAGAGCTCGTGCTCCCTATGTGTGGTGATTCTGTGAATAAATATAATGTGATTTTGATAAGGCTTGGCAGGTTTTCATCAGCAAAATTTTACTTAAAAATAGTAACCAAAGATAGAGAGCCTTCCCAATTTGCTTGACTTCAGAAACAGATTTTTGCTTTCCAGGACTTTTAGGAGTTTGGCTGACCAGGTTACCTCTGCCAAATATCAACGGCTTCCTTTCTGCATTCTGCTGCTCAATGATGTATGTTATATTTGGGACTTCGCATCATATCTCAATTGGTGAGTTTTATTTTGTACTGTGAAATGTTTCTGCAGGACTTAAAGATTATGTTCAATGCTGCTTAAAAAAACTGGCAAAATGTCCTATCTAATATGCAGATGTTCTTTAGGTAAGAATCCAGACCCCCCAGATTCTCAGTTCATTGTTGTTCCACTTCTGCAGCTGATCTGTGGTGAGAATTTCACCAAGTCAGTCAAGTTTCAGCTGCGAGGTCCTTTGTACCCCCAAGGATGTGAGCTATCACAGACACCAGTGCAAAGGAGACGGATGGAGTGTCATGGAGGCATCTGCTACGTAAAGGACCAGTGCAAGCTGCTTCACATTTACCCCCAGGGTGTTACTGTGAATGACTTGGCTCCTGGTCTTCTCCGTGGTCTCCTCCATGCAGTTTCTTGCCGTGACTGAACCGTTGATGGGTTTACATTCTTAATTTGTTCAGAAGCTAGATTATTAAAATGCTGTTTACATGGGAGAAGGCCCTTCACATTATCATAATGAGTGGGTATGTGGAGCTCTGACCTCTTAGGTAAATTGGCAGTTCTTTCTCTGACTGACTATGTTTTTCAGCCTTTCTGGCAGCTCATTGTAATGCATCCATTTTTTTGTGCTTTACACTAAAATCTTTTTTTTGTGCATCTGACCAACTGAAGGCTTCACTCATAAAATAGTAGGAATCTGAAATTTTCAGACAGGGCTTTGGAAATTTCAGGTACGTACTCAGAAACACTAGAAATTGATTATATATGTAGATTATGTATATGAATGAAAATAGACTGGTAGACTGTCTCATACTGCACAGACTTATGGTGGAGAAAGAGATGGATGTGTGGTTTTAAGATAAGTCTTTGTTGCAACATCTCATGCAGTTCCATTTTCTGTTCTCTGTTCTGTTGGTCCCAGGCTCATTCAGCATCATAAATCTGGTGGTGACAAACATTCTGAAGACTCTTAATTTCAACCAAACATTGTCCTCTAATGGTTCACTGGGCAACTTCTCAGACCCTACATTTATGAAAGATTACATGGAGGCCTTGACATTTACTGCATCAGTAACATTTTTGACTGGCATCATTCAGGTAGAAGATGAATCTATTTTATATCCTTAATGATGTATCCTTATGTGCATTCTTCATACAAATGTAAGATTTGGTACTGCTTGCATATTCTTACCACAAATACTAAGCTCAGCACGTTTGAATACATATGTTGTGCAAAGTGGGACATGAAGTCTGTCTCTTCCTCTCCTGCTGTCTGAAAAAGATATGATGGGTTAAGATTCATGTGTCCATGATTAATACGTGTGAAGTAAATTATTCTCTTTTATGTTGACCAGTTCTGCAATATGTGGACCCTTAGGTAGTCCTGCATAACTGCACACACTTGATGTAAAGTATTTTGTTTTGGCAGTGTCTTACTTAATTGTGCATAATGAAAATAGCATGTTCAAATAACTATCTGTCAGGTATGGCAGTGAAGAGGCACATTCTTCAAATGTGGAAACAAGAAGGGTGGGGTTAGACATTGATAATTATATCACGTCTCGCTTCTCGTTTGTTCCATACAGTTGCTGTTAGGTTGCTTTTGCCTGGGGTTTGTAATAACATACGTGCCGAAGACTCTCATTGATGCTTACCTCACTGCAGCAGCATTGCATGTCATTGTATCACAGTTTACCTTTATCTTTGACGTCATGCTTGACTTCCATAAGGGCCCCCTGGGCATTTTCTATGTGAGTAAATTCATTATTAGTCAAAGAAATGCATGCTTCTGGCGGGGGGGCGGGGAAGAAAAGAACAGCTTCAGAAATTGGAAGGCAATTTTAGTCTAAGTCAGTTGCTAAGGGATATTGTGCAAGTCTCAGCTGTGGTTTATTTCACCGCCTTCTTGTCTTGAACAGTGCATGGAGCTTATTGTGTGACATGCAAGAAGAAAAGTGTGTGCATATTTTTAATTACTTATGTAGTGCTATAGTACATTTTCAGCATGTCTATAATTGTAGTAGAGCAAAGGTTAGAGGAAAAGATACTTTTTTCCTCAATAGATCATCATGGGCAAGCTATTGGGCACACAGTATGTTTATCACATCTGACAAAGCAGCAGCAGAATCCAAGCTAAAGACAAGTTAAAGCTATTTATCCTAATTTACTTTAGTAGTGTCAATCAGACAACTTGAGAAAAAGGTAGTGTAGAAGAGAGAACGACGGTACTAGATCTGAACTATTTGTGGCAATGTTTTCTCTGTAGATATCAACACATGAGAGATTTTTAAATGCTGTTTTTTCTCTTAGCATCTCTCTTTTTCTAAGTGAAGATACTGCTGTAGCAGAAGGGATGAGTTCAAGTGTCAGGGCAACCTATGTCAACCTCCTGGAATATAGAAATATTGGTAGTATCTGCCTCTGATCCTCTCTATGATGATTCTTTTTCAGAATCTGTTTCATTTTTTCCTGGTTCTCCCAAAGGCTAATGCCACAAGCATATTGCTGTTTTTGCTTAGCATGGCCGCGCTACGAATCAATGTATATATCATGATAACTTACAAACATAGTCCTATTGCATTTCCTATGGAACTTCTCTTGGTAAGTGATCTCCAAAATGCCGTTGTGATAACTGAACTAACAGAGAGTATAATACACTTTATTACAAAAAAACATTTCAAATATTACTTCAGGATGCTGTTATATTTACACACTGAACCTGTGCTTAAGGCCTTTAAATACTGCTACAAGATTAACTGTCTTTAGGTGGATTGTGTACAGTTTCAGGAGCAAATGGTATATAATCTCTAGTATTGCTTCTTGTTTTCTTTCCCAGATTATCACAGTCACCATTATTTCTAATTGCATTCATCTTCACGCTGAATCTAGTAGTGCTGTGGTCAGTATGATTCCTCAGAGGTTAGTCATCTATGCTGTTTATGAGGTTGTACTTTGAGGTACGAAAGAGATGTTTCAGCCTGTTCTTGAAATCTGACATGGGCTGACTTTTACTGGGAAGTACAGCTATAGGAATAACTCTTCTTAATTGCATCATCATTTCTGAGCATATGGAGAATTCAAACTATAGTTTTCTGTATTAGAGTCTAGTTTTATTAGCATGCAAAAGAAGGAATTTGCATTTTTGTGAGGTGGAAGTCTTACAGATTGAGAGCATCTCCTGTGGGGTGCTGGATGCCTCCGATGGTGATCCCGGGTTTGGAGTTACTGTGGACAGAGCTCAGAAGAAGTCTAAACTTATCTGTTCTCTGATCCTGTAGGTTTCTGCCTCCTACACCACCAGATTTATCAAACCTGAGCAAGATCATACTGCATGCCTTCTCCCTTGCTACTGTAAGCTACTTCCTTCTTGTTTTTGTTGGAGAGAGGTATGCTTCACTTCACAACTACAGTATTGCCAGCAATCAGGTGAGAGCAAAACTGCACATACCTCCTAGGCCAAGAAGCAAGCTGAACTTAACTTGCAAAGCCACTAACTACCTGACAGTGGTAGAAACGCAAGGACAGAGTGAATATGCCAGCTGATGGTTTTGTAGCAACTTGTTACCCTTCCCTATGGAAAGTGGATGTTATAAGTCAATAATGTGAAGGCCAAAACATGCCCTTCTTTAACCAAGAGGCCTTTGTATATTCCCAGTGATTGGGATGAACCTCACACACACACAGTGCTGCAACTGATCCGCTGTGTCATGAATCCATGAGACTATAAAAGCATGATAAATTAATAGCTGAAATTGTAAATGGCCGGAGCAGCTGCAGTTCTTCTCTGTATGTGGCTTCTATCCTAGCGTATGGATTCTCTGCCCAGAGTGCTCTGAGAGGCTCTTAAGCTAAGACTCTGTTAGTTTCCAGTGTGCTCGAGTTAGTAAGCATTAGGTGTTTTGCATTACTCCATGTTTAGCTTGTTGTGATGGCTTTGGATCCTTGCTAGAATGGAACTAAGCCAGTAAGGAAGCTGCCCTGACTTCTCAAAGCCTCTGGGGATAAACATAAAGGGAATGACTTTTCCACTCAGCTTTTGTCCAGGTGTACTATGCTGGCCAGGTGTACTATGAGATTTGCCACATGCTAGCTTGAAAGTCAGTGCTTTGGAGTTCTAAGTGGATTTCTTTGAAAAAAAGGAACTTAATTTTTGGGTCCATGAGATCCTCAGCTGTGAAAACTGTGTGCCTTTTAAGAGAGCTGATTTAACCATGGGAGACCTTGCTTTCCAGAAGGTTTCCTGAGCTGAGCAACACAGATGAGCAACCAGCAAGCGTGAGCAAAAGGAAAGGAATTCCTGATAAGCTACTTCTATGAAGGAAAGTCATTCATTTGAGGTTTTCTCTGCTTCCTTCTGTTTCTGTTTTACAGGAGCTAATAGCCGTGGGGCTATGCAATATTTGCAGCTCCTTTTTCAAAAGCTTTGTTGTCAGCTGTGCTATTTCTGGAACTGTCATTCAAGAGAAGACGGGTGGAAGAACACAGGTAAGCTGGCTTGGATTTGTTCTGCTTCCAAACTGTCATCTAAAATCACTGTATACTGAGTATAGGCTGACATTTAATCTAAACAATTTGTGAGATATAAAGTTATATGCCCATGTAACATGAATTCAGATACCCTGTCTGTGTACATTATATTACATACTATACTTATATGGTATGTGCCATGAAGGCAGCCAGGATCCTGTGGGGAGAATATGATATGTTTACACAGCTTAAAGCTGTATTTTAGTGAATATACCCTAAAAGCCAAATGGAAAATTGTTCATGCACCCTTAATTCTGCCACTTCTTCCTAACTTTTGAATTCTTGACTTTGTGATTTTTTTAGGGAAGAAGGGTGTAATATGTAATAATAATAATATGTAATAATGATTTTGTCATGCCTCTTAACTGAATGTCTGTACATGCTTCACTGCATCATAAAAGTAATTTTGTTTAATAAAGAGTTTATTCCAAAGTCTGACTTGCAAGAGAAGTATCTTACTATGCAGGTGAAACTATCAAACAAAAATCCTGCATTGTTCTGTTGTGCCTAAGATTAGTCCATTTAGGAAAAATTTATATCTACAGAAAACTCTTTTCAGCTTGCATATTCTAGAATTTGCACCAAGCATTGCAGCATACCTGTGGCCTTTGTTAGTTGTCCTCTGGTTATTTTTCCCAAGTGGGTGGTGTTACATGGGCCATACCTACTTGTTTAGAGAGGACAAGTAAGGAAATGGTTCTGTCAGGCCTCTCTAATGAAGTATTTCTGCTCAGCTAGCAGCAGCGATTGGAGCCTCTATGATGCTGGTGATTGCGCTGAAACTAGGACAGTTTTTCCAGGCAATACCTAATGTAAGTGAACCTGAAATAGTTATGGCAGCAGCAGTCCACTTACTTACTTTCTAAGCATAAAATTCAGATTTTCTAAGCATAACAGAAAGATTTTTCTGGGACAGTTAGGGATTATATCATGCCCTAGAGTTAATTGTTTCCAGGGATGGGCCAAACGAAAATAATGATTTTAAACTCCTAAATTTCATCACGCTAATGTATTAGGTAATAATTATTGCATCTCTCACTGATCAGTACAAGCTAAAATCAGATTAAAATTTCACTGCCAGCGTCTATAATGTAAACAATGTATTTTACTTCTGGTTTCACATCTTCCAAGCTTTTGCACACCTGTATAACAAATTCATGAGTTCCTCTCTTGCATCGGTATAAGTTGTTCGAAGATGGGTGCTTCACAATCTTTAGTGTAAATAAAATGTTCAAAATGTAAATTTAGGTTTAGTGTCTCTGATTTTAGCTTGGTCTTTAAGGTTTGTTTTAAAACTGTATGGACTCTTAAACTGCCTTCTGTGGATTTTGCATTGCCAGTGTGCCTATAAACATTGTATTGTAGATTATTCAGAGTACTCAGTTTTCCACTTTTCCCTTAATTTTTTATCTAGACTTTCTTTTTTTCTGTTAAGCTTTCTTAGGGAACTACTGACAGAGCATTACTTCCTGATTTTTCCTGGCCTCTTTGTAAGATGGGAGAATTAATCCCTTTCCCAAAACTAGCTGACAAAACAGAATTTAACTATCTACTTCCCTTCAGTCTCCTTTTCTTTCCTAAGAAAGGCTGTTTCAACAAATGGTGTCAAACAACTTCCTAAATCTGGCAATGAACTACCCATACTAATTGAAACCATTCTTTGAAACAGCAACTCTTAATTCTGTAGATGGTGTTGGCCTTTCTCCTAGTGCTGCAGGAGGCGTAGGGATTCTCTGAAAAACACTGTAATGGAAACTACACATAGCATTTCAAGAGGAAGTCCAGTTATATTGGCAGAAATGCTTGTGAAGTCACACAAAAAGTTATATGCTAGTTTCACGTTGGTTTGCAGATCGCAGGTTACATGTATCTATAAAAATTATGGAAACAAAGCTATTCTGAGATTTTCATTTCAAGCAGTTTGTCTGTCATGCGTATCTGTTCCTTAGCATGTTTGTGGTTGCAAACAAAATATTACAAAATAATAGATGCTACTTTTCTGATTTGCACAGGGTATACTGTCTGCTATTGTGGTATTCAACATGCTCCCTTTTCTTCAAAAATTTCTGGACATCCCCATCCTGTGGAGACGGGATAAGTATCATTTTGTAAGTGACAAAAAAAGCCACCTAGGATTTGGAATGTGTCTTAATGAGAGAAATGGATGTTTTGGGAGGGCAAGGCAAAGCAGTGGCCATTCCCTTAGAAAAGGGATCCTTTGACTATCTACTAAAAGAAGTGTATTAATATCTCTTCAAATCAATTTTCAATTTATACAGGGAAAACTGATGATTGTTGTTGCATCCCAGATACCCTAAGAAGGAAATTGTCTAGCTGCTAGCTGGGGCCACATTCTCATGTCAACTCTTGGGCAGGACTTCTCATAAAGAGAAAGACCCCCAATATGATGTGGTTTTTCCTAATAATTGAAGCCCTCTTTAAAAGTCTGGATATTTGAACTGCAAGTTGTGATCTTTGTTTGCGACTACTTCCAGGACTGGGTTGGTCTAGATGTGCCAACAAAGCTTTTCACATATTAACATTTCTAGCCTTTTATATTGTCTGCAATTTGCAAATGCTGGGCCTGAGTTGGAGATCATTTTGCATCTTTTTTCTGCTCATGTTCTCTCTGTCTCTTGTTCAAAGGTTATTTGGCTTGTAACTTTTGCTGCAGTGCTTTGTTTTGGTCTTGATGTTGGTTTAGTGATCGCCATGGGATTGACGTTCTTCATAATCACCATTAGGTCACACAGGTACTTGTAACCTTTCAAACAAAATACTAGTTTTTCTTAGAGTTGATGTTTTAGAGGTAGTTATACATATGACAATGAAAAAGCTGTTTCATGTTTGTAAATGCTTCAGTCAGGTTATTCTGGAGTCTCTCTAATGCTGTCCCAAACCAGTAATCTCTTCGAGTTTATGGGCTCTGGATTGGTCCCTTCTGCAGGTGTACCATGCTGTTGAAGACTGCTTATTGTGGTGTAGGCATCAGCCAGGAGACGGAGACGTGATCTCTATACACATTTCTATAGGGATAAAATGAGATGATGTGCCTTTATTTCAAATACATTCCACAGCCTTCACAGCCATCTACCAAATTGCTTTATCTTCCCCATAAAACCCAGTTCGTGATTGGGGAGGGAGGTTACGTCAGACACACGACACACGTTACTCAGTTTATTAGCTGCTAATCCAAACAGGAAAATCACCCACCAATCCAAGCCACACCTCTTGAGAATTACCATGATAGGGAGGTGCTTGTCTGAGTAGACTGAAGCCTCTAGAATAATATGGGAAGAGGTAGGAAATAACTCAGTTGCTGCAAATATTGAGCTGCTTGTGATCAGGTCCAGAGTGGCTCTGAAAGAATACCTTCAGGAAGAATTTCAGTTGCTGTTTGAAACTCGCTGTATTACCTCTGCTCAGAGTTATCCTCTCGGGTTTGCCTTGGGATTTAATGAGCATTGCGAAAGGGTGTTTCTGCAGCCGCTGTTCAGTTAAGTATCCCTGTTGTTCATACTACCTTCAGGGTATAAAACCACTTATCAATTTCCCACCAGTGAGAGCATTATGCTGACAACACTCAGAAAAGCTTGGGAAGTTATCTGCAAGCAGATTGCTTTGAATAGAATGTCTTGACAACAATTTTCCATACATCAGGGCCAGCAACCACACAGCCAGCCGCATGTTTATTCCATCCATGCCCCGAACTGACCAGAACCTGCCCCAAAACCGTGCAGCACCATTAGCAAAGCACGGTACCCAAACCAAAACATTCTCCTTCAAGGCAAAACCCTGCATTAATTCTGCTACACGACCTCTAGATCAGACCAAGCCTATATGCAGCCAGCTCTAAGCACAAGTTATAGCTGCCTCCACCTGTCTGTGTAGATACATCTTGGAGGAGGGCTGTGGGGAGACGGAGAGGGAACATACTGCCTAGCGTAATAACAATAATCCAAGTGTTCCAGAGCTAGAAATGGGACATTATACATTCTTGAGGACACCACTGTAGCTGAAGGCTGTGTTTGTGTACTGTGCCCCTACTCAAAGAACCCTAATTATGAGTGAATAACTTTTTGTGCTCGCACCCTCTAAGTGACAGTTGGTGTAGCCAGTGAAGAGGAAAGAAATGGAGATCAAGCTTTTGGGAACAGATGGTTTTTTCTCTGTTCTCTGTGAAAAACCTAATAAACATCTTGTTTCAGAATGAAGATGGTGGTGCTGGGACAGATTCCAAACATGAATATTTATAGAAGTTTATCCGTCTACAGAGCCGTAAGAGGAAACAAAAAACAAATGTTTCATCTCTCTCTGTAATCCAGCTTCTTCCCTTAAATGCCTGGGGGTGACCATTCAGACTCAGTTCATTTGGTTCAAAACTTTGAAAGCTGAAGAATGCTTAAGTATCTGTAGCATGAAGTGATTCAGACACCTAGCTCAGGCTGTTCGGGCCTTTGGAGCTCCTTGTGTCGATCTGCGCTGTCTCCATGATGGAAGCTGCACTGCTGTCATTTCCAGAGCTGTTTGGCGTATTTTGCTGACCCACTTTTCTCAGTCTGGTTTTGTCCACTCTACGTATGTTTTCACAGTAACGACTGTGAGTGTGCTAGACTGACTCACGGGTTCTCCTGGTGATGGGATAATAGGTAGGGTACAGGCTTTTTTAACACATTATTTTCAAGACCTGCACCATCCAGAGTTAGGCAACGCAGTAGTAGAGAGCTTTGCCTTTGCCACACGGGGACCTTCCCAATGCTATGCTGATGGATTTGTGAAAAATGAGAGAACAACGTTAGTAAGACAAGGGTATAGTGTATGTTTTCTCTAATGAGCATTAAAAATAATTTGGCTTATTTTATATGAGAGCAGCTAACTGTCATCTGTGATAGATCTGCTGGAAGTATGTTTTTAATTGCAAGAGAAGCAGGTTAGTTTATGGTAATTGGGTCCATGTTGCCAATGACACTACCAGTGTGCAGTGTAGTCGACAATGTGACCGGACAAATTCTGTCCTTAGGTTAGGACCTTGCAGACTACAACATGGACAGTCAGGAGGGGAAAAAGAGCTCCTGCTAGCTACAACCCTCACAGATGCAACTTCTGTTTTACAGGCAAGGGAGATTGAAGGTATCAAGATCTTCCAGTGCTGTTCTTCCATCTCTTTCGCAAACATGAATCACTTCAAAACCTATTTGTTACACAAGGTAAATGCCACTTTTTCAGTCAGCGGAAGTTTCTAAGAGCCTGCATTAGAGAGATAAAACCCTAATAAAACTGCCTTTCTTTTTCAGATGGACATGAAAGCAGTGCCTCTAGATGAAAGTGAAATGAGGGCTTTAATTTCACCTAGTCTGTCTGACACTGCAGTGGAAAGAAAAGATCTTAAATGCTCTTGTCTCTGTGATCCACCTCTATCACCACCTAGGGTCAGCTTTAAACGTATATTTATGTAGTCTGTTTGAGGTGCCTGGTTTTGTGTTACTGAGGACAATGTTCTTAACTTGCCAGTACTGAAAAGGCTGTAAATGTTTATATAAAGCATATATACATTTGCTGTATGAAAATAAGCAAATGTTACTGCTGTATTTCTTTACACATACTTTATGTGATAGAGCAATAGTAGCTCAGCTTACCGGGTGAATTAACTAGCAACTGAAGTTTTCAACATATCCACTCCTCAGCTGACTGATTTAATTTTGTCAGGTGCTTCAGTAGGGATTTTCTTATTTTTCCCCATAGAAGTGAGAAAATTCCCTTTTAGAGGAATTTGTTCCACTGCCAATACTGCCAAGTGCAAGTACAAAATACCTCAAAGGCAGCTACAGTTACCATGATTAGAGGATTTCTCATCTTTACTATAATTGGGCACTGTGCATCTTCTAGAGTCACTCATATCCCTCTTTATCTCAATTTCTGAATTGTGTTAAACAATATATGAAAGGAACTTGAGGGAATGGACTGTCTTCAGAAGATCATTTTCAAGCAGTTACATGTGATTTGTAAAAGCCCTTGTATGAGAAATGGATTGAAAGATTGGTTTGGAAAACGTATGTGGCACCAAGGTATTTAGAAAGTGGCAGTGACAAATAATTTAACATCATCTTCCAAAGTACAAAAATGCAGAGAGTGACTTTTCCTTTCTTGCATTATACACATTAAAAAACACATTTGGAACTATTAAGAAAGAAAAAATTAAATCAGCCCATTCTGCGACCAGCTGCCATGCAAGGAAGTAGATGAATCAAAGGTCCACAGAACTCAGCCAGTAAGGGGCAGCTTACTGCTGCTCAGAAAGGCAATGGCTATGGGCAGTCTTTTTTTTTTCCTTTTCTTTTCTGAAGTAACAAGTCAGATTCCAGTATTACAGGCCATTTCAAGGTGTGGAAGGGTGAGGTACCACTGTAGGCACCACTGTGGTGGCTGAAGGCACTCTGCTTAACCATATCTGAGGCTTGCCTAAGTCACCAGCTACTCTGCATACTCTTGTGGCTTTGTGCTATATTTAGGGTTATTTCAGATGTGTTTTTTTACCATAAGAGAAAAAATATCATATGATTTACAGTGCTGTCGTCCCGCAAAAAATTTTCCACCTCCTGGGCCCAATTCTTCCAACCACTGGTGTACTCTCCGTTTTTCATCGTAGATACCATATACAGAGAAACTGGTGAAGCGACGTCATGCAGACAGCAATTCTACATCATCTTCAGTTAATTTGGTACATTGGTCAAAGTACGGACACAAACTCAGCTCCAGGACGCTCTTGGTGGGAGCAGCCAAAGCATCTCCAGGCTTTAACATGGGAGTTACGACTGAAAAGAAGGAGGATGAAGGGAGAAGAGCCAGCCTTCCGCCAGGCTCTGCAATAGATAATTCCTCAGTACAGTTAGATCAAGAAGAACAGCCAGTGTATTTGCCATGCCCTGTTCACACCATTATTTTAGACTTCAGCATGGTGCAATTTGTGGATTTGATAGGTTCAGAGTTACTGCGACAGGTAAGCAACCTAACTGCACATAAATGTGGAGCCTAAAGTTCACCCAGTGTCTTATCTTTCTTGCTAGCCTAAGACACCCTGCTACATAACTATCTGCACATCTTCCAGTTGACCTTTCAGGGTGCAAAATTTAGCCATCGAGTTTCAGAAATTAATAAATTGCTATAAAAACACTTCTTTTAAAAAACAAAAGCCCCGCTATCTGTAGCAAAAACCCATCATCCATTGTCACCAGTTCTAGAATCATGTAAACTAAAACCACGTTTATGAAAATGTCTGATTTGTTTTTTTTCCATTTTGGCTGTTTATTTGTTCTTCTAGCTGGACACTTTAAACAAGTGCTCTTCTTTAGAAGCATCAGATATAAAACTACCGGCTGTCTTCTCCTGGAGTGATTTTGTTGTTATTGCTGACTACCTAATTAGCCTTTTCTTTGAAGTATGCCTTGAACTTTTAAGTCTTCAAGTGGGGATCCTAGCCAATGGCGATATATATTTAACAAAAATAAATTTAATGTAGCCATGCTTTTCAGAAAGATACAGTTCCAGATGGATTCTTAGTCAGCTTCCTCAAACTCTGTAGCTCAAATTCAAATGAATTTTGTTTAATAACTGGTTAGACTAACACCTATTAGGAATAATTGTGGACTGAGCTGATGTCCCTAAAATCCTTGAAGATTTATTTGCCACCTATTGAGTGACCCTACCGTTGGGAAAAGTGGGTAAAGTCAAAGTCTTGCCAGATTCCTTCCAGCCCCATATTCTGAAATTCTGTGATTCTCTGAAATAGAGCATTTCATTGTCTTTGGAAAAAAAAAAAAAACTACTTGGAGATCTTTTAATTACAAAGGGTCGGGCACTGAGAAAATGGTGAGAATCTATCCCCTCTAAAATCTGATTCCTTTAACACTAAGTTGATATAACTAAAAATGTTGGAGATGGAAATTGAGACAAGCCAGAATTACAAGTCATGCTTGAAAACAGAGGTTCCTGTTCTCCTTGACATGTGGGCATGGCATCTGCATATGGAGAGATGTTTCAAGTTAGTCTGTTCCTGTGAGAACTTTTTGCTTAAGTGAAGCAGTAGCGCTGCGTGCTGCGTAGTGAGCTGTAGGAGGGCCAACACGGGGTCTGGCTGTGACCTGCCCTGCTTCTGGAGTCAGCATTCATTAAGATCTTGGACAACTTGGCTGTTTAGTGCTGAACTAAAAAAAGCAGGATTTGAGATACCGGAATCAGGGTTTTCTTCAAGAGATAAACCACTACAAGGGAGGTGTTATTTCCCCGTTTATGTTTTACCTTCTAGTGCATTTGTATAACGCAGAATTGCTTTAATGCCTGTATGGAATTCTTTCCACAGATCATCCATATGTTTCACGATATTGGCATTGCAGTCCTTGTAGCTGGCTGTCACTGTGAGTATAGTATTTGTTTACTAATATTGACTTATCTCCAAGGATAAGTTTTAAACTGCAATGTTTTAGCTGTACTGCTTGGTGTGGTTTTGCTGCTTTATTTATTTTCCCCCATTTTTTATAGCCTCTGTGATAGCAGACTTTGAGAAGAACGATTTCTTTGACAGCTGTGTCACCAAAGAAAGGTTCTTCCTAACTCTTCATGATGCCGTGCTGGCTGCTTTGGACAAGCATCAAAAGCCAGATGAGCTAGAACGTGCTGCAGAAGAGTCTGCTGAAGAGCCTCTAGCTGAACAGCAGAAGGTAGAGTATTTAGTTTAACATTTATGCCTTTATGTTGTTAAATTATCCCATCAGTAACTTAAACGTTGTCCTGTGGCTGAGGAAATAGGGCAGAACAGATGCTCTTTTGAATTCTCCAGTTTTTCTCAGGTACTTGCCTTTTTACAGTGGATGGATAATATGATTTCTTTCTTTCAGTCCTGTGTTCCTGTTTCGGAAAAGGCATCCAGCTGAGTTTTGGGGCAGGGAATGACTTTGTTGCATTTTAAATTGTTTCCATTCCTCCCACAGAGCAAGGGCCCTGCCAGGGCAAGGCAAAAGCTCCAGGTTTTTATTTCCAGAGGTTACTGCACCAGCTCCCTTGGGGCTGAGGGGGGAAGCGAAAGACAGTGCTAGCTTGATTTCCTGACAAACTGAAGTTTATGCACATGCTCTTTCTGTCAGAACTCTGCAAGAATTTTTAAGCTCGCTGGCTGTCTCAGCCAAGTTCGAACAGGGCAGATGGTTGCAAGTTCCTGGAAAAGCCCTTGTTCTGAGTACAAGATTCCAGTAATTGCCCCACCTAGGGAAA